ACAATCAAAGTCATAAGAAATACATCAAATAAAAGATAAAAAGTAAACAAAAGTAGAATAATCATTCAAAATATATTGACATAATGATGCAGATGCTTTGTGAGTAAAACAACAGAAAAAAAGAAAAATGAATCAAAAAGAAAGTATAGGAAGTTTACAATTTACTCTTCTGGAACAAATATTGTAATTTTGCGACTTTGTCAGAATTTCTTTTAGAAATTCCATATAGCTAGTATTGTTAGGTATATTTATGACACTACTGCCTTTATACTTTGTAAAACATTGACAAAGTTGAGAAGATGGAGTAAGTATATCACAACGTTGAAGGTTAAAAATGGATCTTTACAATGGCCCGACTCTTGATTAACTGTAAGAACTAGATTTTATCTAATTTTGCTATTTGTAAATATTTTATTTTTAGGAATTCGGTACGATAATAAGGCCTACAATGAATCATTTTAGAGTGGACTATATTGAAGTAGATAATAATGGTGATAATTGTAGTGAGCTAAACAAATCATAACCAAGGTGTATCCATATTGCTAATAGTGTTCTTATACCATAGTTACCACCAATACAAGATAATTGTCTGAACGTAAACTAACTCTCAGCTAATATATTTTACCAGTTTCAACAACCAGCACCCCAAGCACGCAATGCGACAGGTGTGTAAACGTAACTCGGAAGGAAGCACGCAACTCACTCGTAACTCGCAATCAGTACGACCAGGATACACGTAACCCAGACACAAACATAGAGGTGGAATATTTTACAGATTGGCAAAATTGTTAATGTTGGTCTCGTTACAAGTGTATACATGTACAAATATATTTTTATAAACAACTCCTAGATTTCAGCATGTAATATAATTTTGATTAGAAATTGATTGATTGTCTTGTCTTGTATTTTATACATATCTATGATTTGATGTAGATTGGATTCTTGTAAATATTATTATTATTATGCTATGTTATATAGAGATATTTCTAACTATTTATATATTATTATTATTATGCTATGTTATATAGAGATATTTCTAACTATTTATATATTATTATTATTATGCTATGTTATATAGAGATATTTCTAACTATTTATATATTATTATTATTATGCTATGTTTAGGACTGCAACGATTCCTAAAGTGGCGATCCGATAATAAATCGCGATTCTTTGATTAAAAGGGAAAGAAAAAGAAAATTGATAATTAATAACATTTTAAGACAGTTTAAATTATTTCGGCATTTGTAGAAGTACAGTACAAAATTCATTTTTCATCATATTTTACACACAAGGACTAACATATTTCTTCATAAAAATAAATAAAATACCAAACGATCGAATACAATTTCGTGGAATTATTTTATGACTATGCAAACACATATTACGTTGGAAAAAGAAAAAGTGTATATCAGATCCCGTGCGTTTATCTTCAACTTGGCATATTAATATGTTCTCTTTTCATCGTTTATAACAAAAATTAAAAATGTTGAAGACAAATTAATACGTGAAAAGCAATTTTTTAACATTTGAACATGACACAATTTCTAAAATACCCGAGGATTCCGTGCTATTAGTCATTAAAGGGAGTTTATTATATTTATGAGAATCGGGCCGATGTATCGCGATTATTTTTTTCTTCCGCAATACATCGATAAGAAGGAACGAATCGCGGTTCATCGATTCAACGGTGAATCGTTGCAGCCCTAGCTATGTTATATTTTCACTTTCTGGCTTATTATATTCTATCCTCATCTCTACTAAAACTCATTATCATTATAAATTACATTGTATTACAATTTTATGTAGAAAACTTTTTTATCTAAAATACTTTGTATAGTTTTTATTTGACATGACATTTCCTTCATGGATTATTAAAATATTAAAAAATAATGACTTCTTCCAGCAAGCATACCCATATCAGAGAGTATAGTAGACGATAGTTGTCACTTCGTCAAATCACCATAGCCGACATTTTGTTATCATGGACTGTGGCGCCATCTAGTGTTCGGAGATTCGTTAAGCGTCATTACGCGTGTGTTATTTCTATGTAAGATCTATATTACGTGTGTGTTATTTCTATGTAAGATCTATATTACGTGTGTGTTATTTCTATGTAAGATCTATATTACGTGTGTGTTATTTCTATGTAAGATCTATATTACGTGTATGTTATTTCTATGTAAGAACTATATTACGTGTGTGTTATTTCTATGTAAGATCTATATTACGTGTGTGTTATTTCTATGTAAGATCTATATTACGTGTGTGTTATTTCTATGTAAGAACTATATTACGTGTGTGTTATTTCTATGTAAGATCTATATTACGTGTGTGTTATTTCTATGTAAGATCTATATTACGTGTGTGTTATTTCTATGTAAGATCTATATTACGTGTGTGTTATTTCTATGTAAGAACTATATTACGTGTGTGTTATTTCTATGTAAGATCTATATTACGTGTGTGTTGTTTCTATGTAAGATCTATATTACGTGTGTGTTGTTTCTATGTAAGATCTATATTACGTGTGTGTTATTTCTATGTAAGATCTATATTACGTGTGTGTTATTTCTATGTAAGATCTATATTACGTGTGTGTTATTTCTATGTAAGAACTATATTACGTGTGTGTTATTTCTATGTAAGATCTATATTACGTGTGTGTTATTTCTATGTAAGATCTATATTACGTGTGTGTTATTTCTATGTAAGATCTATATTACGTGTGTGTTATTTCTATGTAAGATCTATATTACGTGTGTGTTATTTCTATGTAAGATCTATATTACGTGTGTGTTATTTCTATGTAAGATCTATATTACGTGTGTGTTATTTCTATGTAAGATCTATATTACGTGTGTGTTATTTCTATGTAAGATCTATATTACGTGTGTGTTATTTCTATGTAAGATCTATATATATCCAGTCATACCCTCATCCTAAAGGCTTTGATTGCTACTTTTATCTGTCTCAAACCTTGGATAGTTAGCTGATCCAGGAGCATTCAAATATAAATAGTTCCAACTAGGTTGAATAGAAAGTGGATGGCCTTTTTAAAACTGGAAATTAATGACAGGTCATTCGATTTTATTGTAAATAATTATTTAATATTAAATACGACAAGATACAGGGACACTGTACGTCTGGCAGTTGAGAAACATCAACCTCAAATCACGAGGTGCACAATGATTGGTCAGTTACCAAACTGGGAAAAGAATGAAAATCATCAAAATATATATTTTGGATATGTTAGATCAAACCAGCTTGATATGGACGGTTGTTTGCTGAATAGCAAAGTCTGTAGTCTAATGCTTAAATTACTTGCGCCGAAAGGTCGTGTGTGATTAAAATGAGTACATGTAGTCGCCTACATGAATATATTCCTAAACAACTATGCCTAAATAAAGCGGTACCTTCATTCAAGTTTGCAAGTTATTCAAACTATCGATGTAAACAAATACTTATGTTTTTACGTTAGCTTATCACGCGTTTCCGGATTTGAGTGACTTGAGTTTAGGACACGCATCTCTAATAAAGGTCATTTTTGTTCCTGGTCTGATTCTTGTAACTAGGTCAAGCGTGTTTTCCTATGGAAGTTATTCAAGTAGACCTTGAAGTAAAGAAGATGTTTTATATCATATTGTAACTTATTTTCATATTCACAATTCAAATAATCGTCACATTAATCGCACGTAAGTAGATTTACAGTTTGATTAATTTATCATTTTCAGGATCGAGTTGGATTCATTCACAAATTCAAAGGGACGGATGTGACATTTTGGGGGGTTGATTTTTGTCTTGAATATATGTAAATAGTCTTCAGAGGTACTTAAAATGTACGAAAATCACATAATGTCTTAAAATACTTTTTACTCAGTATTTCTATATATAAAAGAGTATCTTAAATATTAACATTCAAACGCGGATAATTCTGGTTCTTTTATATTGGTATTATAATGTTTATATATCCCAGATATTTTTGACAATGAGGAAAATATATGCGTTCTTACTGCGATGCTAGTGCGGCAGAAAATTGTCTCAGAGCGTGTTAAGTTGGCAATAAGCGTGGTATATTCATGTAGGACACGCCAGATATCGTATAACTGTCTCCATTGTCGCGTTCACTTTGGACGTGTTCTAACGATCTGTTATGGAACGCGTTGAGCACCTCATCTTGACATTTTCTGACAGATTAAAGGGAAATAACCCCAAAACTATCCCAAGATGTTTTATTCATTTATTATTGTATGTAAAACATATTTTCCTCTACAGATAACATGTAATTTTGAATTGAGGATTAACTTGTTTACAGCGTAGTCAGAAGTTTTGTTTCATTACTTTATAATTATAAACAATCAGTAATAATGGATTTAAAATGGTTAAAGACGATGATAATATTGAGTGTTGGACTGTGTTTAGTTTTTACAGTTATAGGTAAATATCTTTCTGTTTTTGTTTATTTTGTTTGTACTGTCTATTATGGAAGTAAGTCTATCAGGTCAACAGGTACTCTGCTATTTATTCTATAGTGGACCAATATTTGTAATGCTATATACATATATATATATATATATATATTAACATTACAGAAGCTAAGATTGTCATAACTTTAAATGGTAGTTTAACTACAAGAAGAAGATTACATGTAAATGACACCATGATGATTAATTGTACAGTTCCATCAAAGATTACGTTTGTCCACGATTTTAGTGTTCGGAAAAGATATAGTACTATCAAAAGATTCGTGAATTCTTACACTGGAACAATGACGAAGAAGATTAGGTGTGATGATAATACATATTTTAGATGTTATGGTAGATTGAATGGAAGAGACACCTATTCAAACACTATTTATGTCACAGTCGATTGTATGTTTTTAGTTCTTATTCATATTTCTGATGTGTAAGAAATTCGAAGTGAAATATCTTGAATAAAATGAAACTTCCAGAGCGATAGATCATAATATGATTTTAATTTTATTATTATGACATTTTCACCTGAGATTTATAGATTTGATTATATTTAAACTGCAATCGCACCTGAATATTTAGATATATTTTCTAATTATAATTCCAGGTGTTCCCAGATGGAATGAAGATATACATCAACCAGTCATATTCTTCTCATCTCAGGCTGCAGATAAAAATTATTACCTTGAGATACCCGGCGAACCAAGACCAACATATTCCGTTCAGAAATTCACATCTACAGGATTACAAGACCTGCCTCTAAATGTAGATGTAAATAGTTTCAATACCCATGCCATATTGCACTTCCGAAACTATACAGAAGATTCACATGGTGTTTATCAGATCGTAGCGAATAATTCATTGGGAACTTTTACTACAAACTTCACACTACGTGGTGGGTCTTATACTGGTTTGACCTAAATTTCTTTATTCCAGTTACTTCTGAGGAGGATTATAGGGTGGGGAGGGGGGGGGGGGTGGGAGGGTTATGAGGGGGACATCCACATACCTCACTATAGAATTTATCCAATCAGTGTTCTCGTAACATTTGGAGTAATTGATAATGATTGTTTTGTTGGAAATTGCAATACAATATCTACGAATCATCTGAATGGCTTGTGACCCTTCAGCTATGAAGATTAAATGTCAGGTTACCCTATGATTTAGACATTCTATGTATGAAATAGCAACCGAGTGTTTTGACTGTTTATCTCAAGGGTAGGTGTCTCGTTTGCTGTACTGAACTTAAAAGAAAAAAATTACAAAAAACATGTGTATTTACAGGTTTATTAGTTTCACCGAAAAACCTTAGAGCCCGGAGTACTACTACTACATCTATACAAGTTGAATGGACCACAGGAGAACTATTTGAGACGGGAAAACACGAATACAAACATGTATTGTATAAGAAAAAGGAATATGGAAGCTGGGATTCTGACAGATATTTTAATGATATCAGGTTAACTGTTAATTATACAGTCAATTTTTTACAACCAAACACAACCTACTACTTCCTAGTACAGGCAATGTACAGATACTCTACCAAAAGCTTTTATTCTAATTTGGCACAGGCAACCACTTTAAGTAAGTATAACCTTAAGTCAAACATTATATTACAGAATTATGCATTTTGGTTATACAGATATATTAGATAGAATTGACAAGTAAGGGCTGGATAGAAACAACTGATAGACGTACTTCTCGTCCATCAATATTTAATTCTATGCTTCAAGTTAACAGGCAAGTACTTTATGTCAAATATTTATTTGATTTTGGCCTGAAGCCTAACATGAGCATAACTATCTGATTGTTTTTAAACCTTGTCTCCAATATCATCATCAGGTGAAACATTAACAGAACCAATATCATCATCAGGTGAAACATTAACAGAACCAATATCATCATCAGGTGAAACATTAACAGAACCAATATTATCATCAGGTGAAACATTAACAGAACCAATATTATCATCAGGTGAAACATTTACAGAACTAATATCATCATCAGGTGATACATTTACAGAACCAATATCATCATCAGGTGAAACATTAACAGAACCAATATTATCATCAGGTGAAACATTAACAGAACCAATATCATCATCAGGTGAAACATTAACAGAACCAATATCATCATCAGGTGAAACATTAACAGAACCAATATCATCATCAGGTGAAACATTAACAGAACCAATATCATCATCAGGTGGAACATTAACAGAACCAATATCATCATCAGGTGAAACATTAACAGAACCAATATCATCATCAGGTGAAACATTAACAGAACCAATATCATCATCAGGTGATACATTTACAGAACCAATATCATCATCAGGTGGAACATTCACAGAACCAATATCATCATCAGGTGAAACATTAACAGAACCAATATCATCATCAGGTGAAACATTAACAGAACCAATATCATCATCAGGTGAAACATTAACAGAACCAATATCATCATCAGGTGATACATTAACAGAACCAATATCATCATTAGGTGATACATTAACAGAACCAATATCATCATCAGGTGAAACATTAACAGAAACAATATCATCATCAGGTGAAACATTAACAGAACCAATATCATCATCAGGTGAAACATTAACAGAACCAATATCATCATCAGGTGAAACATTAACAGAACTAATATCATCATCAGGTGATACATTAACAGAACCAATATCATCATTAGGTGATACATTAACAGAACCAATATCATCATCAGGTGATACATTAACAGAACCAATATCATCATCAGGTGATACATTAACAGAACCAATATCATCATCAGGTGAAACACCAATGGAACTGTCAACATTACAAGTAAGATTGACCACTCATGGGTCTGAAATTGTAAAAGAACATAAAAAAGAATCCGTGAATACAGGTGATGATAAAGATATTCTAACGTTTGAGGTTGGAATTCTAATAGGAATTGGTGTTGGTGTAATTCTTGTTATTATAGCAGTAATAGGAACTGTAATCTATTTCAAGAGAACGTCAGTAAAACGTTAGTAGACTATTTATTATATTAACTATCTAAATTTATTTCACACATATAAGTTTTTATTGTATTATGATCTAACAAGTTGTAATATCAAATATTAATATTATCATCATTGTTGTTATATTTGCAGATAAAACTCATAACTCGATCAGAAAATCAGGTAAATTTTTTGAGATCAATATATTTTTTTCTTTTATAATGGAAAATTACAAACTACAGCTTTTCAATCGGAGAGCGTAGTGTAACAAAAACAATAATCATATGTATGACTGATATGGATAAACGAATCATCTTAAAATGGATGGTGAGCTTTGCTGCTTCATACCTCAAACAATCAGTTATACCTAAATCTACTAAGTATATAAACCACAATATCCTATTTGTTATAGACTTCTCGAATCTTAGTTATTCTTCTCGGGTTACAATCTCGATAAAAAGAAGGGGAGGGGGCAGCTTCTCAAAAGGTGAATTTACAATTTAGTTCTGTCTAACGATGACCAATTATGTTGTAATTTTTTATGGCAAATTGATTTATCGATTGCCACAATATGTTATGTAATCGATTAAATTTTTATTTAGTGGGGGAGGAGGGAATCTAACTATATAATTGATTTATTTATCAGTTAACCGAGTTGAAAGCCAGAAGGCTAGAAGTTTCAATAGGTTCAAAAGCTATAGGAGAAGTTCTCGTTGCCACGCTCGAAGTGAATTTTTACATTTTTGCCTAGAAATTGAGTAATCCTTGTTTTATAAATCAATTCTGGTATAATAGACAGACATTTTCATCATAACATTTAGTTTTAACTTTTAGACTATGGAACAGATATTTGAAAGTACTCCAATTTTGAATTTTCACCGTTATGCCTGAACCATGACAATGTTTGACATTTTCTTTCGGCTGGATAAACTATACTTGTAGTTACATTGGAATAAAAGTTCCACTAACCTAACTTCAAGTTGTTTCTCAATGATATTTAATGTGGAACGCATATGAAAACAATGGAATATTCTTAAATACAACTTTCGAACAATTATTAGAATCTTTTACAACCAGCTGATACTATGACTCAGTAAGAAGACGAATGGACAGCTCTTAATGTTTTTTTTTCGTTTTTTTTAGAAAATTGGTATGAGAATGTCGATGAGAGTCGTTCCCTTGCTTATTCAGGTATTATTTAGAATAAAGTTTAACCAATAGTACATTTAAAGACTAATCAGTAAATCAATTCTATAAACCGGTATTCTCGAATTAACAAAACGATCTTTCACTTTTAATTTGTAACAATAGTGTCATGCCCCAAGTCCAAATATTTTATAGCGTGATCACAGCAGCAACTGTCCCGTGTGACGCGGGACACTGTTTTGGAACATTTGTCAACTGGGCATCTCTTCCATATAGTCCTCACGGCTAATATCATTTGATTCATTTATGATTTGATTACCTTTGTAAAACATTGACAATGTTGAGCAGATGCCGTCATCGAACCATCGAACAAGGAACTTAAAGTTCTTTACAACTGACCTACCACTCAATTTCACTCTTGTTCTTAAATTTTGTTTGCCAGTTTTGATTTATTGTTAGGACTGGTTTTCTCTATTTGTTATTATTTTTCTTGTAGGTCTTCGTTATGTTAATAATACATATGATGAATCATTTTAGAATGAACTGTATTGAAAACTAGTCGAAAATGATGGTAAGAATGCCTCGTCCCTAGTTTGACGGAATATTGTAGTTTCATCTGTTGGCTGATCAATTACTATGTACAATAGGGGATAGGATATAGTCATTAGTTTCTCTTTCATATGGTTTAAAGCATTTCCAACATGGAATTAGGTAAATTGAAGTTAGGTTTGACATCTTAGTTTCTCCTGAATCGGGAACCTTTTCTTCGTTACTTACAATAAACAATTTACAATAAACAAATGAGTTTCTGATATCAAAATGTTTTTACATCTTTTATGTACAAAATAATGTAACTATGTTGTAAAGAATATACACGTATATATTGTACATTGTTTTGAGTACTATTTTTTGTACAAAATAAATATATTAATAAAGGAACACGTTTTGAATCTATTTGACTGCCAAGGGGTAGGATAAAACACCTGTAGTATGCAAACTGTATAATATACAATAATACATATTAATTATTTTAAATCAGTTTTAATAATCTATATAGAAGATACAATAATACATATTAATTATTTTAAATCAGTTTTAATAATCTATATAGAAGATACAATAATACATATTAATTATTTTAAATCAGTTTTAATAATCTATATAGAAGATACAATAATACATATTAATTATTTTAAATCAGTTTTAATAATCTATATAGAAGATACAATAATACATATTAATTATTTTAAATCAGTTATAATAATCTATATAGAAGATACAATAATACATATTAATTATTTTAAATCAGTTTTAATAATCTATATAGAAGATACAATGATACATATTAATTATTTTAAATCAGTTTTAATAATCTATATAGAAGATACAATGATACATATTAATTATTTTAAATCAGTTTTAATAATCTATATAGAAGATACAATAATACATATTAATTATTTTAAATCAGTTTTAATAATCTATATAGAAGATACAATAATACATATTAATTATTTTAAATCAGTTTTGATAATCTATATAGAAGATACAATAATACATATTAGTTATTTTAAATCAGTTTTAATAATCTATATAGAAGATACAATAATACATATTAATTATTTTAAATCAGTTTTAATAATCTATATAGAAGATACAATAATACATATTAATTATTTTAAATCAGTTTTGATAATCTATATAGAAGATACAATAATACATATTAATTATTTTAAATCAGTTTTAATAATCTATATAGAAGATACAATAATACATATTAATTATTTTAAATCAGTTTTGATAATCTATATAGAAGATACAATAATACATATTAGTTATTTTAAATCAGTTTTAATAATCTATATAGAAGATACAATAATACATATTAATTATTTTAAATCAGTTTTAATAATCTATATAGAAGATACAATAATACATATTAATTATTTTAAATCAGTTTTGATAATCTATATAGAAGATACAATAATACATATTAATTTTTTTAAATCAGTTTTAATAATCTATATAGAAGATACAATAATACATATTAATTATTTTAAATCAGTTTTAATAATCTATATAGAAGATACAATAATACATATTAATTATTTTAAATCAGTTTTAATAATCTATATAGAAGATACAATAATACATATTAATTATTTTAAATCAGTTTTAATAATCTATATAGAAGATACAATAATACATATTAATTATCTTAAATCTGTTTTGATAATCATGTTAGTAGTTTCTTTGATAATTAGTTTCGGTAAATTATTCAGTTGATTCTCTGCTTCTGAAACGTAATCCTCCCAATTCAGAATGACACAACATGAACCTTTGTCACTCTTTTTAATAACAATGCTATCGTCTTTCTTAAGTAAGTTTATCGCTTCACGTTCCACTCGTGTGAGATTAGGCTTTTCGTGTGTTATGGAAAGGTTCACTGTTTGGCTATTCATACTCGCAAATGCTTTCAATATTTCAGGATGGATGGCGGCCTGAGGGGGTGTCCACGTGGATTTAGGAATAAACATTGTTCTAGCACCACGTTGGGGGTGGTTTCGAAAAAAATATGTGCAGCTAAGATTTCGTTGAAATCGTTCAATGGATGGTCGGAGATAATTCAAGTTAGCTATCTTTGGTGTGGAAATAAATTTAAGTCCACGGTCTAAGATTGAATGCTGAAGGGGTGTGAGAATTTTGCGGCTCAAGTTAACTACAGTTTGGCCTAGCGGTGGCCACTCAGTATTTTTATCCCCAGTAATTAGTTTATAGACTTACTCGATGCTTGAAGCTGGTGTATCCAAAACAAATAAATGCTGTTTGCTGTTTCTGGAGACCAATGGAGATTATCAACTGGTTCTTCTTCGTAGGGTGGTAAGATTGTTGCGCTGTTGATACTGGACTCCATCATCATGTTGTTGAGAGGGCTGAGGTTCTGTTGTGCGTTCTTCGAGATTTTATTTGAAATGGGTATACATATGAAGAGGATCTTTCTGGGCTTGGTTAAAGGAGGTCTTTGGTAGCTGATCACGGTTGTTGAGGCCTACATGCAGAATAATGGTAGTAGGTTTGGGGTCATGGTCGTATGATTCCAGGATTGACTGTATGTGATGGATTTGGGCACCGGGGTAAGAATGTATTTCAGTGTCTGAACTGGTTTTGGTAATTCGATTCAGGTTAGATGATCCAATTATTAAGGTAGATTTCTTTAGAGCAGGTAGCTTTCATAATGATTTGTTCTTGGTTTGGTGATAATACGGTTTGGTAGCGGATATAATGGTCGTCGACGGTGTGATTGGTACTGGTTTGATAGTTGTTAGAATTGTAGCATTGGGAACGGACTGGGATCTGGTTTTAGGGGGGGGGGGGGTCTGGATACACGTCTCGACTTGGATGGAGACTGAGGGGTGGTTTGCTGGTCCAAAAACGCACAGAAGGAAGAAAGGTTGGCGGATCCTGGATCACGTGGTGAAGATTCAGATGGTGTGGAAGGGGAAGACGAGTCTGAAAGTGAAAAGAGGAGGGGAGTGCCCTCTTTACGAGAGCGTTTACCTATGTCTGCTGGACTAGGAGTAGGTGAACTTCGGGCTCGTTTAGGGGTTTGGTTCGGCAGCGTGGTGGCTCTAGATGGTGCAGGTGTAGTGTCCATTTCAGTTGTTAGAGATATGGTTACTCTGGTTTTTGTTTCGCTGATTGTTTGGTAGAATTTGGTGATTACAGCTTGAGTAAGACGTTTCCCATAGGAGCGACGGGCCCAGGACAGGGCATGAGAAACGATGCGGTCGGCGGCAGATGATGATAAAGACTTGGCACGAATGGTGGTCAGCTTCTCTTGAAGTGTGGTTTGGTAATGATCGATCAGGACCTGCGTAACCTTAGAGAGCCATGTCCGATTGAGGGATCCAATATTCGCGTCAACAGCTGATGTTTTCATTGCTGGACGGATAAAACTATCCAACTCAGAGACTTTGCGTTTGAAGGTAAACGCTGGTTGGCCTTGCTGTTGAAGGGTAAGGATTCCCAAATGATGGAGGCACTGCAAAACTTGGAAGGACACCTTCACAAAGGGTTCTTCCTACTTATGAGTGGGGACTGGTTGGCGTCTGTGGGCTGGTAGTTGTTTCTGTTGTTGGTCAGGTCGATGGTTTCCTCTTGATTGGTAGGCTGTGTTGTACGTAGGTCGGCGATGGGGTGGGATATAGCTGGATGGGTTGGTTGGTGGTCGGCGATTGGTAGGTGGTAGAGGTCGATGGAAGACAGGATCGTTGTAGGGATCAAATTATGCAAATAAGTCAAACTGGGTTTGGGGATATATAAAGTAAGATGAAAGTTATGATGAAAAATGCAAAAATATATATTTAGGTGATAAATAACACTAACATAATAATAGAGTTATTTTCCTTACAATAGCAATCCTTTGTATTTATATTGTCGAGAACAATATACTCAAGTTATCTCCCTTAAAATATCAGTCTTTTGTATTAATGTTTTCGATAATAATATAATGGAGTTATCTCTCTTACAATATCAGTCTATTGAAGTCAATGTTGTTGAGAATAATAGAGTAGAGTTATCTCCCTGACAATATCAGTCTTTTGTAATTATGTTTTCGATGATAATATAATCGAGTTTTCTCCCTTACAATATCATTCTTTTAAAATCAATGCTGTTGAGAATAAAGAGTAGAGTTATCCCTGACAATATCAGTTTTTTTTATATGTTGTCGATAACAATATAATAGAGCTTTCTCCCTCACATTAGCATACTTTTCTATTTATGTTGATAGAGTTATCTCCCTTACAACATCAGTCTTTAGTATTTGAGTTGTCGAGAACAGTAAGATAGAGTTATCTCCCTTACAATATCAGTCTATTGAAGTCAATGTTGTTGAGAATAAAGAGTAGAGTTATCCCTGACAATATCAGTTTTTTTTATATGTTGTCGATAACAATATAATAGAGCTTTCTCCCTCACATTAGCATACTTTTCTATTTATGTTGATAGAGTTATCTCCCTTACAACATCAGTCTTTAGTATTTGAGTTGTCGAGAACAGTAAGATAGAGTTATCTCCCTTACAATATCAGTTTTTTGTATTTGTTTTTTCGATAATAATATAATCGAGTTATCTCCCTTACAATATCAGTCTTTTGTATTTATGTTGTAAAAAACAAAATGATAGAGTTATCTCCCTTACAATAGCAATCCTTTGTATTTATGTTGTCGAGAACAATATAATCGAGTTATCTCCCTTAAAATATCAGTCTTTTGTATTTATGTTTTCGATAATTATATAATCGAGTTATCTCCCTAACAATATCAGTCTATTGAAGTCAATGTTGTTGAGAATAATAGAGTAGAGTTATCTCCCTTACAACAGCATTCTTTTTCTATTTATGTTGTCGTGAACAAAATAATAGAGTTATCTCCATTACAATATCATTTTTGTATTGATGTTGTCGACAACAATATAATAACAAAAAACAAAGGAAAAAAAAGTAATGAATAAGTTATCAACATCTGACAAAAGCATAGAGCGGAGGTCACTATCTTTTTGTGGGGGCTACTTTACACAAATTTTTTTGTCTGGTTTTATCACCCTTACAATATCAGTCTTTTGTATTTTTGCTTTCGATAATAATAAAATCGATTTGTCTTCCTTACAATATCAGTCTATTGAGGTCAATGTTGTTGAGAAAATAGAGTAGAGTTATCTCCCTGACAATATCTGTCATTATCTGTAATTATGTTGTCCAGAACAATATAATAGAGTTATCTCCCTTACATTCCCATTCTTTTCTATTTATGTTGACGAGAACAATGCAATAGAGTTATCTTCCTTACAATATCATTTTTTGTATTTATGTTGTCTAGAACAATATAATAGAGTTATCTCCCTTACATTACCATTCTTTTGTATTTATGTTGACGA